TAATTTACTAGTTATTACTGGTGCGGTGGCGCCCCTATGCTTAGAAAGCGTGCACGTTGTAACTATATAGCACGGATATTTCCAACAATTTCAACGGGTAATGTAACCAATTAGCCACGATCCTCGATTTTGATCTTGATTCTTGCTTCGTGTTGTATACATAACATAAGTAAAAGAGATAATTTTATCGAAATATTACTTGCTAATAGTTTATAGCACGAGTCAGTCGGGTTATCCGTTACAGCATAAATTGCGGTTGATGGAGATCGCTTATCAAAGATAGTAAAGGAAAAAGATATCATTGTAGAAATATCGAAAAGTCTGAGCCTGCGATTATTTCACAAATTTTCTGAATTCAATCCGAATTCTATTTTGGACTCGTTGATCACGATCGTTGTTTTTTAACACATTTCATTCCGGTAAGATTCAGATTTCCTTTGGTTAGTCAATATTTCAGATATAACCTAAAAATAGTTTTTTGTTATTTAGTTTTTTGATATGACCGATATATATATATATATGTATATTGCTAAAAATGTATGTATAAACTCTTACAACGAAAAATTAATTATTCATAAGATTTTATCTCTATGTTAATTATTTATAGAATTCGTTGCTAGTTTGAAATAATGGAAGGTTCTGTGGAAACAGTCTATTGTCTTCATATTTCTTTTTTGGTAATGTTGAGCAACGATTGAACTACAAATACGTCGAGAAAACATGTTCAGATGTTACGGACTACTATCGGGTGGATGACAGGCACATCAAGGATGGATTCCAGCAAGAGATCAGGAACGGTTAATAACACTGTTGCACAGTCTGAGAGCTCAGACTCTATAGAAGTATGTATAAACTTATAAAGCGTTATGAAAAACCTCTTTGCCATTTAAATGCATATTTGTTGATTTATTATTCAATAATTATTTTGATTGTAGGTAGACAATTCTCGTACAGTCCTGCTAAAAATAGCAACACTGTATGCGGAGCGTCTTATGAATGATATTTGTCTTGTTGTGGATGGTGTAGAATATCCGGCACATCGACTTATACTTTGTGCTTCTAGTGATGTTTTCCAAGTAAATACAGAAATCTGTTAAAAGAAATAAAGATTGATCACAGAATGATATAATCAGCATTATTGTTATATTACAGGTAATGCTAATGAGTCCACAATGGAGCGAGTCTCAGGAAAGCAGGGTAACTCTCCAAGAAACGCCACAGTGTGCACCAATATTCAGTGAATTTTTGCGTTATTTTTACACTGGCCAGATAAGAATAAACCATAGTGTTGTTTTACCGATATTGTCCCTAGCTGATAAGTACAATGTTAAAGATTTGATATCATTGTGCCTTGACTACATGCGGAATCATGTCGCATTGGCTGCTATACATGGCACATTGGTATCGTGGCTGCAATACACATTGAATTGTGGGCATCATGATATTAGTCAAGCGTGCCAAAATTTCATTAAGTGGAATTTGGAGCTTGTGGCCAAAACTGCAGACTTCGGGAATTTTGATCTGGATATCCTAGTGTCCTTGTTGCATCAAAGTAGTTTAGTTGTGAAAGATGAAATGATGCTTTACAAGTGCCTAGAACATTGGCTGAATTATCAAGCAAGTCGTTTGAGAGCACAGCTGTCGCCAGACGAGGTAGAAGCAACATTGTATCAGTTGGTGATAGCGGTGATGTCGCCAGTTAGATTTCCAATGATGTCACCGCGACAATTGGCAGAATTGCTACTGTCACCATTAACAAAGAAGTATAAAGAATTTTTTGTGGAACGTATGTCTATTGGGATGTCTTTTCATTCAGGACAAATTAACAGAATAAAAGAAGTCAGCATGAGCGAAGAAGATGGCGCATTGTTATTTGAGCCGAGATTGTATACTGTTGACACATGTAGCTCATTACTGACCATAGAGAACTTTCACAGTTTGCCATCTTATCACATGAGGACACTTGTATTTTCTAGTCACTCCAGTTTAGCAGAATATGCAGGCGATAGAGTGTGCGAGTGGGTAGTAGATATCTATCCTAAGGGTGTATGGTTCAAGAAATTTTTCCTTATAGTATGGCAGGGTACAGTGGAGATGCCCGAACATGTCAAGCGATCAGTGAGATTGTCATTGACTTGTAAGGAGCCATTAAATAGTAACATGCGTGTGAAAATCGGAGTTTTGATTTATGGCTTGCAAGATGGTGTTGAGCATATTGCAAGAGTTACCGAGATTATTCATAGATTCAGTAAGAAGGATCGCGTCCTGAATTTAGATGATCTTTTACCGTTTGAGGAACTCAATCCACAACAGGGCTCGGTATCGGAAAATGTTGTATCTCCCTTTTTAGTGGGCCCTAATAAAGACATGCTCAAATTACATATTGTTATATCGCCAGCGAATTAACGTTTACAAAGAAAATTGCGATACGAAAGTGTCAAAGTACAGAATGTCGAAAAATAAAAGTTAAAAATGTTTATATTCTACATTTTTACAAGAAATTCAAAAAGAAGATATGTTTTATATTTGTTGTTATATAATATATTTTATATTTCTAAGTATTTCGTACCTTACATTTTCTTTTTTTTTTTTTTCAAGAAAAACATTTTTCCAGGTTATGTAAAATATTTGTATAAAAAGATAAAATTATCATAAAATGTAATATGTAATTATATGTTCTATTTATTTCTAACTCATATGAATTGATTGACTTTATTAAACGTTACATTGTTTACATTTATGTAACCCTAATGAGATATATGTATATTACATTGCAATTATAACATATCAAATGCAATGTGAAATAAAAAAACTTAGTACATATTTAGTAAAAAAGCAAAAACTTAATCCCTGTTATTGTGCTGTAAGTGTAATTTCCCTCCTTGAAGTCTAAACATATAGACTTCTATTCCTACAATTTTGTCTAATAGCTGTATATGAACACATATGTTGTATATAATCGAGATACAAATGTAAATTATTTGCTATTATAACATACAACAAAATGCGAGCGCATATTATGGACATAAATATGCGTTAACTAAGCTTGTATATTAATCGTGTTCCACAAACCAACATTTTTGTAATGAGAACTACAACCGCCAATGATGCTTTTTTAAAATATCACATAGAATCTGTAAATATATTCTGTATCTCACTAAATAGAAGAAAAGAAAAATATTTTTAAGACTTAAGGAGGTTGTAAGTGCATTTGTAAGAGCAGTACAAATTTAAAAAATATTACTTTTTATTGAAATAACTTTTGATCCAGATGGTCAACTGTCTCTATTTTTTTTTGTATTTTAAATGCAATTTAAAATAATCTGTAATTTTTCAAGTAATTCTTAACATATTGCATTTGCCTCGCATTTGCCTTACAACTTCCTTGACAGTTTTTAGTTTTATAACTGCAGTTTTAGATTATTTGAGACGCAATTTATTGTTATTAATTAATTAGTATTATGAAATTGGGATGGATATGTCTATACGAATTTTATGACTATTACAATATAAATATTTTATTTATAATATTTTATTTTGTCGCTACTCCCTGATAACAAAAACCGCCAAAAGTTATTAGAATACTATAATTAGATGGTAATTCTCATTGTTATTATATATTTATTAGTTAAGAATTGATTTTCCATTTGTCCATCAACATAATTGTATCCGCGTGCAACAAAATAATCTAAGACCAAATAAAGTATATAATATTTATTTCTTAAAAAATATATGCTACTTTCATGTAATTTTCAAAATCATATATATATATATACACAGTATGTTCTACTCATATTTTTTTTAACGATATACTCTTTTGTCATTAGCTACATATATTACTCTTGTCATTGATTTAAGTTATCAATTACGATTAAAAAATTATAATAACTTATAACTGTAATTGTTTTATGAAAACATGTATTAATTTAGGTCCATCAGTGGAAAATAATTTTATAAGCTACAGTGATAAAGTAATTAAATTTTATCGGAAGTTTCGCATAGATAATGCATTCAAATACATCACATTATGCAACAGTCCAGATAGCTAAATGCTTCTAAGATTGCCGTCATGTTATTGACAACCGTTGAAGCGAAAAATTTCTAGAAATTCAAGTCAAGGTGCTTCGTCATTGTGCGTCTTAGGTTGTACTCATATGAATTAGACATCAGATTACAACAAATTGGCAACTTGTTGACATTCATCTATTTCCTTATCATCAGTCGTCACGTTGCCGTCACATTGCTGATAACATACCATACTAATATTTCTGACTGCCTGCTTTCAAAATTTAATTAATTAAGGGTGCTTTCCAGCAAGGACAATCAGACACCGAGGGGGTCTACTAGCTGAAATATTGTCCCACAAATTACATGATTTCATATGATTTCATCTGATTACAAATAATTGTTTTCACTACATATGAAGTAATTTGATAAAACATACGATTTTATTTAATATTATACAATGACTTCTCGTGATTAAATATGTAATTATCGGATTATACATAAAGATTTCATATGAATTTTATAATGATTTCGAGGACTCTGTCCCACGATTACATTAAGTGGTTACTTCCTCGTCAGACACTGTGTAACACAATGAGTTGTGTTTAACGTTGGCAAACAACAAGGATGAAACGACTCACTGTGTTACACAGTGGCTACGTTTACACCGTGCGCTTAGTCCGCGACCTATACGACACGTGTCTTTGTTTAATATACAGGATAAACAAGGACGTCTATTGTATAGGCCGTGGCCTAAATGCACGGTGTAAACGTAGCCAGTGTCTGACTATGTCCTTGCTGGAAAGTACCCTAAATACTTGTATAATCATTTATGTTGCTCAATACGATAAGATACTGATAGGATGATGGCAAACAAACGATTATTTAACACTCATGCAGTGCATTAGCTTGCTTGATATGACTAATTATGCTTGGTTATCTGGAAGAATGTGTAAAGTAGATCACGTGATGTTATAAACCTTGAATGATTAGTGAAAGGCACTTGTCTTGTCAAGAGTATCTTTTACGTTTCTGTCGTAGCAACTTACAGTCGCATTTTTATCTCTTGCTGTTAAATAATAATGTAAGTAATATTGTTTACTAAAATAATACAATTAATTTAATAATATAATTTATTTATTTATATATAGTACGTTTTAATCGGTTGTTCGATGTAGAAGATTATAAATGTTATAAAAGCATATGTTTAAAAAAGTTTTAAACTAATATTTGAAAAGCTTCTATAGTCTGCTATAAATTAATGTTTTTTTTTCAAAAATAACTATTAAATTCCATACGTGAATGAGATCTATTTGTTTTTCAATTTTCTGCAAATTAGTTTTATAAAATTACGATTTTTTATTGAACATTGAATATTGGTTTGTTTATAATACAGTTGTTTATATGTTTCTATTTTGTTAGTACATTTAATTTAGTTAATACAAATTTGTATGTAACGTATATACCTATATGATCTGGTTTAATACTTACAGATACAATATGAAGCTATATAGCGTTTCGGACGGTCCACCGTCTCTTGCATGTCAGCAGCTGTTGAAGGCTTTAGATATTAAGTACGAATTGATCAATATGGATTTTGGAAAAGGTGATCATATGACTGAAGAATACGAAAAGGTATAGTCAAAAAAAAGAAAAATATGAATAAATAATTTAACACGTTGAACAAACAATAAAATATATCGAATCTTACAGCTAAATCCACAAAAAGAAATACCTACTCTTGTCGACAATGATCTTATAATGGGTGAAAGGTAAGAAATCCTATGTTATATATTAAAATTGGCATTCTTCTCTTATTAAAAGTATTTAAAGTATTCAGAGTGTCCCATTTTAAATAATGCATTAAGATTTCTCGAAAACTATGGTAGATACGGAAAAATGTTTCAAACAAAAGTTGTATGGTTCGGAGGGGAACATAAGAATTGAAAACCAATATTCAGCGATTTTTAATAATTAATATCTTGTTAACCATTGCGAAAATTTCAAAATGGTAAAGGACTTTTCGACTCAGTTTAGTCCGCTCTATCTACACAAAAACGATTAGCAAAAACTTACGGGACACCCTGTATAATTATCATAATTTAATATAGATAATTATATTTCGCATGCACATAAACGTATTATAGATGCATTCTAGCTACATACCTACATACTGTAAGACAGAAATAAGGAAATACCCAGTAAACGAGAATGGATTAATTGAAATTAATTGAATTGCAATTTCTTCGAGTTCGCGTCTTAGAGCGCAGAGCTAGATTGAAATGAATTAATATCTGAGGGCATAAATTCGTTTTTGTTCATGAACATTTATAATTCTTTCTTTATAAGTAGAATTATTTGTTTATAAATGGAACTCTTTCTTTATAAATAGAAGTATTTTTATGTTCATTTCAATCGAAACAGGAATATTCCTCACTCATTATTCAATACTGTACTCGGATAAAAATTTAGGGCTTACATGTTTCATAACTTTTTTTTATTTAAGCAAAAGTGCGTATTTTCATGATTTTGAACTATAATGTATTCACATTAGCTTACAAATTAGCTATGTTGAAATTTTTTTTTAATTGAAGTGAATTCAATGAAACTTCTTATTCATAATTTTGAACTGGGATGTATTCATGTGAAATGAATTAAAATACGAAATGTGTCATTCATCATGTTTAATTCAGATGATTTATGTCCGTATTATATTATTTTTTAATTGAAATGAATTAAAATATGAAAGATGTCGATTCATTATGTCGAAATCAGATGTATTCGTGGATTCAAATGGATTCGGAAAATAGAAGCGCGAATTCGGAAATGTCGAAATGAATTCACCAATTTCCAATTTATTTTTGTTTACTGGGTACATATATTTTTTATTTATTTTGTTATATCCGACATTTATATAATTCATGTCTTGCTACGTTACGTTACAGTAATGCAATTCTACAATATTTAGCCGATCAGTATGATATAAGCGGTAAATTGTATCCAAAGGCACCGAAGTTGCGAGCGATTATCAATCATCGTCTGTGTTTCAATTTAGCGCTTTATTACCGTAACATCAGCGAATATACCGTAAGTCCAATTGTCGATTGAATTCTCATATTTGCCGAACGCGCGTATTTATTAGTATTTATGCCATAGTTGGCGCCGATATTTTTTGATTATCAACGTTCACCGTTGAGTCTCAAGAAAACAAAAATTGTGTTGGATATCTTTAACACGTATCTGCAACGCGAAAACTCCGAATATGCAGCAGGCAGTGAGTATATATACATATAATAATATGTATAGGGTCACACAATGCTGCAGTTACACATAGCCTTTGACTATTGGCCTGTTTTTTTTTTAGCTGAACTTTTGCACTAGTTCATCTTTTTTCGTTTTCTTTCCTCCTGGAGAGAAAAGCAAGAAAGATGAACTGGTGCAAAAGTTCAGCCAAAAAGAACAGGCCTTATATAAATATAAGTCAAAGCATATAGCCGACAACGGAAGGTAACATCGATATAGCTCTTGCCGTTAAACTGCTGGCAATAGTTAATTGTTGTCTGCGTGTTGCTACAATGATTGATATATTCTGAATCGTTAAAGACAAATATACAACAATTTAAGTTGCCAGATGCCAACATAAGCAATCATAGATTTCTGCGATTTTGCTGAGACACGCTTTGCTATCTGGAATGTTATGTAGCAATTATATTCATGGTTTGCTGAGATATATATATATACATATATATATGTATATAATTAATTATTATATATATGTATAATTATTATTATACATATAATAAAAAATAATTTGTTATTATTTATTTTCATATATTTATTCTAAAAAATAAGACATTAATATTTTTAATTGTTGTATGTACATACATACACACACATACACACATACACATATATTTATTAATAGATAGCCTGACAATCGCCGATTTTCCATTGATAACTGCGACAATGTGCCTGGAAGCCATCGACTTCAAATTGGATGCTTGGCCTTACGTAATGAAATGGTACGACAATTTTAAACGGAAGCATCCTGATCTTTGGGAAATTGCGGCGAGTGGAATGCGAGAAATCAGTTACTTTGAGAAACATCCACCAGATATGTCCGGTATGGATCATCCGATACATCCGATACGCAAAAGCGCGTGAAAGAGTTTCTGCAACGAAATCCAATAATTTTGCCCATTTGCAAACACTTTTTATTTTAAATTAATTTGCAGTTTTTCTAAGCATAATATAAAAAGAATGATAATAAAAGTGATTTTTTACTAAACTAGATTTATTATTGACACATTCGTTCAATATTTGCACAATATTTCCATAATTTTCTTCTTATATCAACATTAAACTATAGAATCTCTATTACAATATATTTTTATGATAAATATTATAATTACTGCAGTTACAACTGCTATGTGTTAACTTTTGTGTAATTGACAATATATGTATATGTACAAATGAAATAAATCTGTTGACATACATTTCGGTGTATTCTTAAACAAAATGTTAGAATTAATTGAAAAATTTGTAAATGATATCTGTCATAATTATATGTACATAAAATTTTATTTAGTAATACAAATAAGATAATTATTTATTGGTATAGATTTATAGATGATAAATGAAAAGTAATAAATGGTGTGTGTAAAATAATTGTATGAAAATGTGTCGTATATGTGACACTTATAAAAATATATATTTACGATCAATATATTTAAGACTTAATTTAATTGTTCATAGAAGTTTATGTATACAGATATTCTTAGTCGAATTCGACGAGACTTAATAGTTTCATCGTAAACAGATTCTAAGCTGATCACGAACCTTAATAATCCCCAAATTTCGCTACATTAACTTTATTCGTGAAATTTAACATAACACGGGAATAATATATATGTATATCGTACACTATACAGGGTGTTTCCAAATTAAATGGCAAAACTTCGGGAGCGTGTAGAGGAGTAAAAAACTAAGAAAAAAAGTCCTATAGACATATGCTCCTTTTTGCTTTGTTTCGCAGGAAATCACGAAAAAAGAAAAAAATATATTTAATTTATTATTTTAATTATTTTATTTATAAACTTTTTAATGAAGATTTTGTTCGAAATGTGCACCTCTTGCAGCAATACAAGCATTGCATCACAGTATTTCTGACATATTAAATATCTCTCATTTTACAGACTATAGTCATCACAATTTTCGACACCGTTGTAACATTACGTTAAGAAGAGAATTTATTGTTAGAATAGAAATAAAACTATCAACCCTGTTAATATTACGCTAATTCCGTGGAATAAGAATATCACTATGAATCATTTACATTAATTTGCAAATGCGACAAATATTGTATCTTTTTTGTTATGATACGTTTACTACAAATAACGTCTATTTTAGGACCAATAATATCTTCAGAGATGGAAAATGGTATTTTAGAGTTAATTCATTATTTCTGATTGTCTTTATGTATTATTCATATCCGCGTTTGTAACTTCCACTAACGACAACGCGTCGTATATTGTGATATTTGTGAAACTGCCGAATGAAGAGGTCTTGATCTAAATATTATTCTTAACATGTTTTCCATGTACTTAGAAACGTATTGAAATTGACAAATCTTGTTATGTTTGAATTTTTTACCGATCTGATATAACACGCTATAAGATGGATTTATTAATATTTTAACGATTGCAAGTCGTCTTTATATTTTAATGCATAATATAGCAAGTCCTCTCGTGAGTCTCTCTGTAATGGAATACACCTAGATAAGTACGTAGTCGATTGACTATGTCATCTGAAAGTGTTTTCATGCTAAATTGAGCTACAGTTATCACACATACATACATCATTAATATGTACGTTAATATTATATAACATGAATAATACCACAGAGATATCTCCGACGCATTTAGATCCAATATATGAATATTTTGACCATAGCTGTTTAGGAAATGATAATCGTGTAACAAAAGAGTACAAAACATCAACAATAAAGAGGATATCAGCTATACTATTTTTGTTAATATATATTTCTGCGAGAGATGTTTTTCAGCAATGAGTTTCTCAAAGATTTTGAAATAATTTATTTTACAATTTCAACTGCAGATATTTCGTTAAAATGCTTAGTAATCTTATAAATAAATAAAGAAATTTAAGTAAGTGTTCTATTAAAAAATATTCAATTTATGGACAGATTTTTTTACCTGTATTTGTTAATCGTAATATAAACTCTGTTTGTTTCCAGAGTTGATATTAGAAACAAGTTGGAATGAATAGAAAATGGCTAATATAGTTGATGTACGGCAACGGTACACAATACTTCAAGGTAGCCTTAAGGAATATTTAAAAGTATACTGATAGAATCTATTTCCTGACTGAATTCGTGTTTATACCTCAATGATAACTTTGGCCATCGAGCCACTGCCAAAGAGGCTTATGTAGCTCTGCCATAATATCTTAATTATTGCTTTAATTTTCCATGTGTTTAGTCACCGAACTCTGCCCGAGGGTGAGCGTAGGTGCGATTTTATGTAACCGGTTCGATAATCGATCACGTCACGCGACGATCCATCTGACATGCCGTGCCTGTGTCTCCTGCTCCACCTATAAATGGAAGTTACGTTATTCATGATAATCCTAACAATCGTTACCTAAAAATCTCAATCAACATGCAAAATACAGTTTTTTGCCAATTCGACAGGAAAGACACGTGGAGACTTTCCAACCAGGATTAGTATCCTTCATTATTAATTACACAATCACAAAAAGAATATAAGAGTACAAATACTATTTTGTCTATAACCATTCTCTTTGATATTTAATTTGTAATGCACAGTACAAGATAAATTTAATTTGTTTTTATTTATTATATTTTTATATACAGGGTGGTCCATTTTAATCAATCCAATAGAATATCTCAAAATCTTTAAGTTTAAGATAAAAATGTTCCAAGACAAAACTTGCTCAGTGACAAACAAGAAAGAAGATGACCTTGTTCTTGAGAAGATATCTTTAAGATCAGATCAAAGTTACTTAAAAATTTTTAAATGGAATTTTATATATATTGTTTACATAACATAATTCCACTAATTATTTTGCATATAAATTAATGTATTAATTTATAAAATAAAAATATCAAAAAGCTAATAGTTTACAAGGTATTTAATATTTTATGTCAACATGTGCCAGAATAAAGTATAAAATATCTCATAAACTATTAGTTTTTTTATATCTCTACCTTAATATTTTTATATGCAGAATAATTAGAAAAATTATATTATATAGAAAAATAGAATTCCATTTAAAAATTTTAAATAACCTTGACTTCTTAAGGTCAACCACAATCACCAACTTCTTTTCCTCTTGTAACTGAGCAACTTTTTTTACATATTTTTGTCTTAAACTTATGGATTTTGAGATATTCTAGAATTAACAAAAATAGACCACACTGATATATTATAACATATTTCAAAAACAATAAAGTATAAATTTAATTTATATATTATATAATTTATCAATTATTTTTAATTTGAAATAAAACTATGTTTCTCAATGTGTATAAATTTAAAAATTTGAACTACATTCCTATCTCTATGTTAAGTTTTTTATTTCTATTATGTATTTTTATTATTATATTATAGTATTTGTAGAAAATTATCACACAAAATCAAATTTATATCCAACGCAAAAAGTCACGGATATCCCATTATTATATGGAAATATTATATAACTTTATCACGTCTTATTTAATATAAATATCTATAGTAAAAAATATTTTATTATTTTCTGATCGAATATAATCGAATTTATATATCAAATATAACCAAATATATAATTAATTACATGGGATTGCCCGTTTCATTTTGCAAAATACACATTTAACAAACTGAATGACAACAGTAATTATATCATTGAATATCGAACAGCATGACACATGTCACTATGCATCATTCCAAAAATTTATGTGGGAAATACGGACGATATATGTATACGATAAAAATAAAAATAATTTGTAACATTTATGAATACCTGCAACATTCACGGAACAGGATACTAAACAGATCGATCACTATGAGCTAAGATAAATAGATGCGAAGAAATTTATAATTTTATAAAAGCATTCCTCATTGCACGCATATGCTTTCATATCAATATACAGGGCCCCTCACAACTGACTTATGCTTTTTTATTGAACATTTTTTATTTAAAGTTATACACACATCTGTCTGTGTGAAAATATGAAAACTTCGACATTTAAAACTTTTCGAATTAAAAAAAAATAAGATAAATAGAGAATAATAACTTTAGAGAATAACTCAATAATGTGCGTTTAAATAGACAAGACAATCTTATATTATTTCTTTTAATTTTAAATTCTATTTTTATCGTAATTTTAAGTTTTGTTATTTCTTATTAAAATATTTAATATTATAAAAAATAAAGTATCGTATGTAAAAGAACTTTGAATTAACTAGAAAAAAATATAAATAAAAGTGATACTCTTCTTTAAAATACCCTGTATATACCCGCTATTAGCGTTCGGCGTTTATACTATGTTACTCACTTAGGCACTAGCTTAAATAGCAATTATAACATTGTGCAACTCAATATTCAGCGCTTTCAAGATGATTTGCGACTGCCACTCACTAACAAATTCCTGCTCAATTACCCAGCATATTTCGTACCTCGAGCGTTACAACAAAACTCTACACGGTGCTACTCGTCGCCAGCCAACTATCACGATCACGTTCGATTTGATCTTGATCACTTCCTGCACCTGATTCCTACCTGATTTCTCTCTTACCGCGTCACGCGTGGCTTCGCCACCAGCCTGATTGTTCTCATACCTTGATGTTGATTACGAGGATCATGCGAATAGCTGTTGCTGACGACGGTGGTGGTCGAGGTGATGGAAGTCGAGGTAGAAGGAAGGACACGGCGTGATTGGGTTTCGGAGGTCGAGCTGTATTGTTGAGGGTTGTTGTTAACATGTCGAAGAGTGGCAGGCTGATTGCTGCTGTTGCTGCTATTGTTGTTGTTGTTGCTGATCGGCAGCAGCGTCTGACCATCTCCATGCGCGGCAGAAACGCCGTAGCTCCTCAGACGGTGCTGACGTTGCTGAAGGGACGTTCTGCGACCTCTAAGGATATTCCTGC